TTGGACTCTACAAAATTATATGGCCGTGCCCAGTAGAAGATATGAATGCTATAAATATAGAGGTAGTGGCAACGAGAAGAGCACCTCCAATTCAACACACAACTGCCCTGCGCAAACCTCTCAAACATCTTGAGATTTTTTTTTTTTTTTCCGCCAACACACCTTCAGTTTGGATAAACAGCACTGTGAAGGCAACCGGCAAACACCTTCAGTTTGGATAAACAACACTGTTGCCGTAGAATCAGCCAACCAAGGAGCACATTCAGTTTGGTCGTAGAATCAGCCAACCAAGGAGCACATTCAGTTTGGATAAACAGCACTGCGTCGAGGCTAACTGGTTACCTATCCAAGTCTCGGTCAAGAAGGGTTTCCTAATCCTTATTGGCAGAGGTCATCTTATTAGCCTTTTCAACGAAGTAAGGTGTTACAAGTTACGACATTTGGCGCATTAAACACCGAGTGATTTTATGATTGGATACTCATAAGTAAGTTTCAGAGTTCAGCATTGTGACACCCAAACCACATTTACCATCAAGACATACATGTACTTGTGTCCATATAGTTTGGTGTTCATTTGACGTGCTTATACTCTTACAAATATAATCACTATGACCGAATATGGCGCCGGCGATTTGTGAACTTCTTAGAACTAGCAGCCTTGTCTTCAGGCTTGAGAACCTAAAGGCCGAGACGTGTTCCTTCTTCGGTTGCAGTTGCAAGATCAAGAAGTTAACAACACACTCAACGCAACATTAACAAATTTTACTCCTCGGCTAAGCTCGGCCGACGAGTTGGCACACCCCACATCAACCGAATGACGTAGTTAACTCATTAGTTACTCAGCCTACGCACCATGTAGGCTTTGTAATTTTTAGGGTCAACATTTTGGCACGCCCAGTAGGACCCAGTGCTAAAACTACGAAGTTCACATTATAGATCAAGATGTCAATCCGGCTCCATTTAGCCGATTGCATGATTTTCTTGTGCAATTAAAAAGAAGCAGTGAGGAGGGTACAAAACGCCTTGAGGAGAATAGAAAATGCCTATTGCAGGTAAGGAATCATGATTTGTTTCCAAGTTATGTCAGAATATCACTGGGGAAGAGACAAAAGTTTTTATTAAAGGCCGAGCTCGGCCAATTCGTCGAGGTATACTTTCCAAGTAATATATATGCCCACCAACCATATATAGCCAACTACATGTTCCTCGGCCATTATAAGACCCCCTGATGTCCTCGGCCATGATGTTGTTCCTCAACCACTTTTATTAGTTGTGTCCGTACATATGCTAGCCAAGGTGGTTTGTCAATAACGGATACTCAGGAAATTGCCGAGCTGGGCATGAGGCCTGTTTATTTTTAAGCCTCGCCGAAGAAGAATATTCAATGACTAATTTCCTTAACCATTTAGCTTACGAGCCAAAGCTCAAGGAAACTGGGGGGCAATGTTTGGACCCAATTTTACATTATCGGCCCGAGCAATCGAGATCGTTGAATGAGCAAAATTTTAAACCATTGAAGGACAAAATGGTTCAAATAATTTTTAATTATTATTGAGAAATAATATTGTGATTTTAATCATGATATTATCTCTTAGTAATATATTAAATTATTTAAACCTAATATTTGTCTAAATCTCAATTAATTTGAATGATGATGGAATATTGGGATATGCACGGCGTCAGATAATGAAGCAAGTAGTTCAATTCAAATTGATTTGTATGTCTGGCAGTGGACGTGTAGATTGAAATAACTTGGAGTGGAGATCAGCATTTAGGATTTGATGATCTTAAAATCATGGTCTTGGATAATGATGAGATAAAGAACCTAGGTAGACTAGGCCTTTTTTGCATGATGATGGATGTTGTCAGATGGGTTTAAAAGCTACTGATGGAGTTTTGATGATAAAAAGCCTAGGTGGGCTAGGTTTCTTATGAGATGTGATAAACTTAACTTTTATTAGGTTTGCAAAGTCAAAGGAAAAATCCCACAGATCAAATCAAAGGGTATGCCTTGGTTTCTGATTCAGATCAAGTTCAGTTTCGCGAATTAGAGTTGTAGTTGGACTTTACAAAATTATATGGCCGTGCCCAGTAGAAGATATGAATGCTATAAATACAGAGGCAGTGGCAACGAGAAGAGCACCTCCAATTCAACACACAACTGCCTTGCGCAAACCTCTCAAACATCTTGAGATTTTTTTTTTCCGCCAACACACCTTTAGTTTGGATAAACAACACTGTGAAGGCAACCGGCAAACACCTTTAGTTTGGATAAATAACACTATTGTCATAGAATCAGCCGACCAAGGAGTCCCTTCAGTTTGGATAAACAGCATTGAGTCAAGGCTGACTGGTTACCTATCCAAGTCTCGATCAAGAAGGGTTTCTAAATCCTTATTAGCAGAGGTCATCTTATTAGCCTTCTCGGCGAAGTAAGGTGTTACGAATTACGACATTCGACGCATTGAACGCCGAGTGATTTTATGATTGAATAGTCACAAGTAAGTTTCAGAGTTCGGCATTCTAACGCCCGAACCACATTTACCATCAAGACATACATCTCCTTTGAGTACTTGTGTCCATATAGTCTGGTGTCAATTAGACGTGCTTATACTCTTACAAATATAATCACTGTGACCGAATCCGGCGCCGGCGATTCCTGAGCTTCGCAGAACTAGCAACCTTGTCTTCAGGCTCGAGAACCTAAAGGCTGAGACGTGTTCCTTTCTCGATCGCAGTTGCAAGATCAAGAAGTCAGCAGCACACTCAACGTAACATCAACAAATTTTACTCATCGGCCAAGCCCGGCTGACGAGTTGGCACGCCCTGCATTAATCGAAGGACGTAGTTAGCTCATTAGTTACTTGGCCTGCACGCCACGTAGGCTTTGTAATTTTTAGGGTAAACACAATCACAATATTTGACGCTGATTTTTGGGGATGCTTTCCTTTAACATTAAATCCCTAAATCTAGCAAAACCTAAATGCCTAAAATCGTAAATATAGAAAATCACGTAGTTGAGGAGAGATACATGGTGTTTAACAATCTCGCCGGCAATGATGGGGTGGTCGGGACGGGAAGGTTTGGGAGGAGGCGATGGTGATGGTGGTCACAACTTGCAAATCACCAGAGAGAGGGATGATGGAATGTTGATGGTTGTCGAGTTGAGGTTCGAGGAATGGTCAGGTCCAAGGCGGGCAAATGAGTACATATAAAAATGGTCAAGTCCAATCCTTGGGTGAGTCACCTTTTCGCAGTGACGTCGCATCTTGAATGAATGGGAGAGATGAGAAAGAGGAAGAAAAGAGCAAGTGAGTCTAAGTGAGAAAAGATTCAATGGTGGAGTGGAGTTGTGATTAAATTCAACGGTAGAAATGGTCCGGGTCAAGCCCCCATGTCAACTGATTTTTTGACCTATCTCGTTGCATCCCATTTTGTATATATAAATATAGGACCTGCGCCGATCCATTTGGGCCCGTACCGACCCACGGGTGCAAGGCCCGTTCGGCCACCGCTAATATGGACCCAACTTTCTGAAAGAATCATCGACTTTCTAGACATAAAGATCAGAGAATTGGTTCAACTGGGATCGACTTGGGGTTGGAGCCCATGTTAAGCAAAACATTGGCCAACTTAGTGTCCCATTAGAAAAATTGTTGTTTGACGTAGTAACTGGTGTAACAATTTTAGGAGTTGTTTTTTCTCAAGTGTTTAGGACATAGTGTCGAAAACATTTCGTGGACACTAAGCTAATATTGGGGAGACGAAATCAAACACAAGCCTTTTGGTGAGACCATGTCGACTCCAGGTCTTGCTCTCTTCATCTATTTGAAGTTGGAAAAAACTGAACTTAAGTAATTTATTGTTATAAATCAACAAAATGAGATTGAACCTTTGCCAGATATTGAAGTGAAACGTGAATAATGGATCACTCTGTTTATTTTTCTTATTGATGTTAGTCGAGAAAATAAGCGCAAAAAAGCTAGGCAATAACTTTGAGGAAAGTAATAGTATTGTGTCTTATTTTCTTGTATATCTGATCATACAATGCATGCTTTTTATATAGAGCTCTAAATGTGTACAAGTCTACAATGCTAATTAATGCATGTTGAAGCCATGCCTTAAAATAGCAAGATTTTGGTCGTTCTTACATTTCGTCTTTAGTCATATTATGTGAGCATTCACACCATTTCCCACCACTCCCCCTTTGATGCCCATATATCAATATCGGTTGTCTTCTTAAAACCTTGCTAGGAAAAACTTAATGAAAAAAAAATCTAGCAAAGAAAAAAATAGTATAACTTTGCTTAGATTATTGATAGTGTTAAATATGCTTGTGTTATCTCGTTAAAACCTTGCTAGAAAAACTAAGTGGGAAAATCTCTACTCGAAAAAACAAAAAACAACACGCGTGTGTCTTAGATGCTCTCCCCATAAGCATCTCCCCTTGATTCCGCATTCTTCAATTTGACTGGTTGTTAATTCCGTGTAACATACAATGCCCACGTCCACATAGTTGTAATGTTCTCACACGCCTGCGTATGTTTGTAGTGGGCATTGCTAATCCCTTCTAATTATTTTATGGTCTATTCCTTGCGAACTTGGACTCAATTCCTAACCTAAACCTACCCTAATAGAAGCAACTGGATTGACCAAATGTGTGTTTTGGTCGAAGCACGGTTAAATAAAATGTGTTTAACCAAATAAACAAAAACCCTAACAACTTCATAAGAAAGCCCAAGTGTTTGAGCCCAAGCCCAACTAGGACTGCACAGTTTTTTTTTTTTTAAGAACATATCTACTCTAAGAAGGTAAGGGAGTGGACTAAGTCATACAATAAGTTTACCTTAATAATGTTGTTCAACTTTCTCTTTAACAAGAATCAAACTTAAAAACAATTAAAGAGAAATACTAACAGATCGTAATAATAGTTGGCCTACATAGTTTTTGGATTTTAAATTTTCGACCAAATATAATAAAATAATATAAAACAGAGGGCTTTCATAGTTTGGGGAGGAGAGGGGGAGAAGAAAAGTTTGAATATAGGCAAAAAGTGGGTCTTCTGAGTAATTAGGGCACAGAGATCAAAGAGTGTTGCCGTCGCTTGTGAGAGAGAGAGAGAGCAATGGCGTCTTCCAGTTTGATTAGGGTTTGCAGGGCTGTGACAGCGGCGACCAGGTCCTCCAGTTCCAACGGCGGAGCTGCTCTCTTTTCCTCGAAGCCCGCCACCAATACTATTCCGAAGCCAAAGGCAAAGGCGAAGGCGAAGGCTAAGCCCAAGGAAGCAGGTGTTTCGACCAAGCCCAAACCCACCCTCGGGATTATGAAGCCGATTCCGATCTCTCCAGCTCTGGGAAGCTTCCTCGGCGTCAAGGAGTCCTCCCGCGCCGAAGCTGTCAAGCAGATCTGGGCCCACATCAAGCTCCACAACCTGCAGGTACTCGTCTCTCTCGGCTTCACACTGTATTTTGTCTATATTTATAAATATCTTCCATTTTCATTTCTGTTTGATCTTTTTTTGTGGGTTTTTCTTTGATGGGTTCTAATAAAATGCTTTGTTTTTGTTTTATTTATGTGGTTTTGCTTAAATTTACTTTGCAAATCAGAAGATTTTAGCTGGAAAAAAAAAAAAATGTCTCAAAGCCCTAAAACCCTACGCCTTAAATCCCACCCCAAATAAAAATATAAACAAATGAAAAATGTAAAATAGGAAGTAGCTGTTGTGGGGTGCACAAAATGGGATATCCAGACACTTTTGGATGATCATTCTTTAGGTTCGCTGTTTTTCTAAGAACGAAATGTATTTGTTGTATCTTAACTTGATGGAACTTGGCCGAATGCAGAGTTTTGACAACGCCTCGTTAGTTAGGTTTTGAAGATTTGACTATGATTTAATTTTGTTTCCGAAGTTGATTAAACCCTAATAGATGGTGCTCTGCATTTCTGTTCTTACAAAGCTGCTTTTTATTAAGTTAACTAAGATGCTGCTCTGCATTTCTGTTATTACTTGTATTTGACATGATTTTGGTTCATGATTTTATTTTGGTTTGCAATTTGGATAATTCTTGGTTGTCATTTGTCGCTTGGATTCCGTTCATGTTTAGCATTCACTTTTTCATCAGCTTGACCTGACAATCTTATTCAGAATGCATTTTGCTTCCGTGTTGACATGTAGACGTCTGCTTAGTGTAATACTTTGAGATGTCTCTGCTGTTTGCAATTCAGTAGTTTCCCAAAAGGTTGCAGGGATGCTATAATATAACTTTCTATTGTAATTATGGATCATGATTTATAGTTTCTAACTAGGATGGCTAGTGAGTGGCTATTACAGCTAAGAGATGTTATGTAAGGTCTTCTTTTATTGACGTTAGCACTTCTGTGGGTGGATGGAGCAAGTTTGTGGTACACAATTCTGGCCCCCAAGCAGATCTTCTGTATCTTGTCTAAAGAATTGTTTGCGGTCACAAATAATTCCATACTTGCTTCCTTTGGTCTTGAAATGTCTTAATATAAGTAAAACATGATGATTGAAGACCCAATATCTAGTCAGTATATTGAGGCAATGTTATATGTCGATTTGTATAGCCAATACCAAGAGCCAAGCAACAATGGAAGCCTTGGCAATTACTGAAAACGTTGGAAGACTTTTAAAAGTTATGCTTTGGACTTACTTGTTGCTGGTTTCTTTTGATGTGAGCACCTAGATGCAGATGGCACAAGATTGTGTGGCCTTGTGGCCTTAATACTTGGAACAAGGCCCATAAAAGGGATAAACAGTTTAAATCTGATCTAATTTCTGTCCACGAAATTCAATTGAATTGTGCCTTTGCATGTCTGTGGGTTGGATTTGTGTGTTGGTCTGGGAAATTGTAACAAATTGATACCATATGCTTTGTATACACCATATTTGTGAACGCTACTTATTCTACAGTAGTTTAGGAAAGTGCAGCAGGGATGTGGACCCTTACGTGTTTATGGAATGCTTGTTTTCATTTGAATTTTGTACATGCTGTGCGTTATTAACCACAGAAGAGTAAAATACTTGTAATCGAGATGTGAAGTTGAGTTGAGTAATAGTACTCAAATACGTCTGGTTTTCTGTCTGCAGAATCCTGCCAACAAGAGGGAGATTTACTGTGATGACAAGCTAAAGGAGATTTTTGAAGGGAAGGAAAAAGTGGGCTTTCTGGAAATTGGGAAGCTGCTCTCGCGCCACTTTGTGAAGGCTGAATGAATGTCTATTGAGTCGTTAAATTGATGTGTGTTGCTTTTGAATCGATGCTCCCCACCCCTTGGAAGAGCAAATCCTTTTGGATATAGTTTTATGCTCACCAACTTTCGTTTGAAGACCTTTTTGTGCAGGAAGGGAAGGGGTTTGGTAATTGGAATTGGCTGGTCTAACTTTTGGATGTATAAAAGCACGTAGGATGAACATTTTATGATTTAACGTAGATCTTCTCTTGTATCAATTTAGTTGTTGTTTTAAGCTACGTTGATGGCCGTATCATTTATCTTAGCGTTTTATTTTTTGTCGGCGTTGATCTTAGTTGCCCTCTTGAAATGTCTATCAAAAGCTGCTTGGATGGGATCAAGTTTTTGTTATCTTATGTTGGTCCATTTGGAATGACAGAAGTGGTGCCATTTTTCAAGGAAATGGTTTCCATGTACATCGTACTAATTTTTCTCCTCTACAATTGCGGCCGGAATTTCATGATGCTTATGCCAAGCACACGGTGATGGCCGGCGCATGAACATGGGTGGTTCGTTGGCGACCTCCCTCTTCCTCCGCCACGCCCACCATTGCACAGAAATTCTCCATTAGACAGAATCCATACCGAAATCCCAAGACCTCTCTGCCTTCCCACGGATCGTTGGCAGAGCAAGACCAGGAGTGACAAGTACTATTAATAACAGTATCTGCTGTTCTCATTACAGTAGCTCGGAAATCCTTAGTTAAGGAGATGATGCATCCATTGCTCTACAATAGCGGGAGACCCGTACCATGGCGTCAACGTATCATCTGAACCAACCGGAGAGTGGTAAACACCGTCGAAGCTAATGTTGAGGGCACCCTCCATGATGCTTCTGGTACAACTCGTCTCCCCAAACATCAGCCTGCCCACAGACCTGAAACAAAACGATAATCTCATTATCGGCATTCAGCATCCAGCCTTGACGCTTGGCTTGCAAGACATGCCGAGGACATAACATCAACATAACATAATCTAGAAGACCCCTCGTTTGATCAATGACCCCCGACACACCATTTGGTAGTGCCCTGAACAGCATATGGGTGCCAGATATACGTATGATGAAATTTGAAGTAGGATTATACAGATGGAATAACAGAAGCTCCAAGGCATGTTAACGGAATAGACCTCAGACGATATGTAACAGAGGTATCCAAGAGTCATCAGCAAGAAATTATTGAGACAAAGGTTTGATAACCTACAGGTGCGGGGTTCCAAGAGTCGATAACAACGAAATATCGGAAAACCCGAATTCTTCCTTGTAAAGACGTGCAAGCCATCCTCCTGCTGAGTGTCCAATGAAGGATAAAGTCCCACCTACAATGAAATATGTCCAACACTTTCGGAACTACAACAAATGAAGCAAACAATTACACTACTGTACTTGCTGGAGAAGTCAAGCATCCATTGGCAGAGGTGTTTCGTTTCAACGTCGCCTCGAGGAAGAATCGCATGTGAAGGGAGGACAACAATTTCTGATGGCTTTTCCGGGGCACATTATCTTAGCCGCTTTTATACTGTCCATCTCCCTCCTCTCCTCAACGATTTCTGATTTCCTGAAAGCTGTATAGCTATATGATAAACTTCATCCGATACAAAAATTGGATTCTGTAATTACGTAACCACTATATCAGTCAAATTAATTTACGGGCTTCCAGCATAACTGGTTGCTTCATAGGACGGTACTGGATGCCTTCTGGCTTAGAAAAGCTCTATATAAATTTCCATTTCAAGCATAAGCTAAGCGCTTAGTTGATAATATAATTGCATTGCAAAAGCTCCTAAAGCACGAGAATTCTAAAATTAAGCAATGCCATTTGAAGATCTAGCAGCACGGTAAGAGCTTAACAGAGATGAAACCAATTATCGTTTAGTATCATCTAAGTAGGTTCAAGAGACGCGGTTTCAGACATGTTTGAATAGTGTTAACTCTATTATTAGATTTCACCGATCCTTCATAACCTTTTCGACATAGATATTGCATTGAAGCTTATTCATGTATACTTATAGACATAGTATACCTACCTACATACATACATACATACATACATACATACATACATACATATATATATATATATATATTGTATAGCTGTCAGAGAGAGAGTTGATTAACACCTTGTGAGAACTCCTTGGCCTCTTGTACGGCATCATCCACCCTCTTCAAATACCTGCCAAGTTGCCAGCATCGTCATTCGTTATTTGTTCTTAACTCAAATTCAATACAACCTATTCGGGCAAGGATTTCTCTGGAGAAGGATCCTCGGATCTTAGCACATCTCCCCAAGGGATTGGCACTTTGGATGTGTAGTCGGGCTCTTACTTGTTGATGTGCTACAAGAAGAGGACATAGTTAGTTCTAAAAGGTGCCTTTGTGGGGCCTTAGGTGTAGGCCTTGAGGCTCGCATTCAAAACTAACCAAGTGCTAGGCATGCCACTGCTATCTCAGTATAGCAGATGTAGAACAAGTGTGTTTTTAGTCGATTACTTGCGCCCTAAGTTACTTGGACTTCTTGTTATCAAAGGATTGTCGTGGATGGGTTAAGTCCACATTAAATTCTTTTTCTTGCCTTGTAAACAAGGACTTTTAGTTCATAATCTTGTATGTTCAAATGAAGAGAGTCCAGGCCCCTTTAAGCCATTTATGTGGTTCTTGATTGATTTTAATGATAACATATCCATTAAACTAACTAGATCCAGAAGCAAATGGAACTCTTAAGATAGGAAAACCGATGGAAATAACTTGAATACATACTGGAGAATGCATTAAGTAATAGATCTACAAATTCAGAAAACAAACAAAGAGCCTCGAGCAAGATTTCACCTTGTCTGGCAAGGTTGAACCTCTTGCAATCGCTTCTCTTTGAATTAACAGGGGTTTATATGCCAAAAAAGGATGGATGGTAAACAAGTTTACACAAAGGAATTGATACTACGCCACTGAGGGAAATAGCAGAGGTTTAAAACTGGACAAGAGATAGCTTGTTGCTAAAAAGGACTGAATATGGGTTGATTTCAGCTTTTGGATGCAAATCTGGCTTGAGAGCAGAGTTTGTTTGTTTGTTTATTTGATTGGATGAGTGTCTTTGTCTCTAGGGCCTCTTCCTCATTTTATAGGCAATTTAGCCCGACTACTGTAACTTTGTTCTTACCCAAAAGCACTTGGAGGGTAGTGAGTCATCAACCTTTTACTTGGAATGCCACTAGAAAGTATTCTTTGGCTGGTAGTAGGTTAGTATCCATCACTTGTCTTTTCAATGGTAAGCACGTGACTTGTATTTGGTTGAGAAAGCTTCAATTTGCCTTTGGACTCGGTGTTGGACTTTGGGCAAGTCCCTTTTTAGTTGGCATCCTTGGGCTTTCCTTCATTCAATTCCAATGTTCAAATATTAACCCAAACACAACCTTATTCCAATGTAAGTCAAATTCCAAAAGGTACTCGTCATAAAGAAGCAAACTATAACAATTACAGGAGACTGAGTCGACATACCAATTGAGTACAAGTCGAGGATTGAGAGTTCTTCGCCAATAATTGGGGTCAACCAAGCCAACGACATTCGTCAGCCAATCAATTCTTGACACTTTGGCAACCACTGTGCTCACTCCATACCAATGTTCTAAACATCCCCGCCTAACACCGCCTACCATTGCCTAGGCGCTAGACGGCTGGCCACCGTCCCGATTAATGCTTAAGCGTTTGAAAATTAAGAAAAAGCGCCTAGACTTGTTAAGGCGCCGTCTAGACCACCTAGGCACCTGCCTAGCCCATCCAGACCCTCTTAGGCACCCTCCTAAGTCGCCACTCACTTAGATAGAAAATAGATAACTTTCATTTTGTATTTAATTTTTTTTTTTCAATAAATTGTAAAAGACTTGTTGCATACTTAAATGAACATGCATTATACCCTTGTTCCCCATATTTTCATTATGTTCCAATACTTCATAATATGTATGTTATTCTATTTTGTAGTTTATGATGAAAGTATATATATTTCAAGTATAAGCAAACACCTATTTACACAAAATATAATAAATTTTCTCAAATTCGCCGACTCTACCTAGACACCCACCTAAGCCCCGCCTAAGCCCTGCCTAGCCACCTAGGTGCTAGGCCTCAACCTGCCGCTCGACTAATACCCATCGTTTTTTAGAACCTTTCTCCATACCCTCTCAGAGTTAGCTCTAACTTATGGTAGTCAGCTGAGTTGTTTCCTAAACCATGAAACCAAAGTGCAAAGTGTATGCATGTATATTATTACAGATTTGTATATATTAGCTAGACTAGTTAGCTAAGGCAGTGTGGGCAAGACATGACGTCATATCCGTATTTCTGTAAATTAGAATAGTTTAAAATATCGCTGCCTCGTGAAAAAGAAGTATTGGTGCAGATTTTTATATATAAAGTTATTGAAAAACACAGATGAAGAAAGTAGAGAAATTGTGAGCTTAACTGGAAGAAGAACAGCAGGTCGGCATGAAGATGATAAGGATGATGGGTCCTGAGAGAATGCAGAGGAGGAGAAGGCTAATGGCTTTAAAGGGGATAAAAGCATAGCCATTGCCATACCCCTACAAAAGAATAAAGGGAAGGGAAGATGCTGGGGTTGGCATTTTGTAGCTTGTATAAAAAATGGAGGGTCGCATAAACATACACACCACCGCACCGGTGGCTTTTTTGCAAGTTTGACAGCTGAGGTTAAGGTCAAGGAGACATGGTTTTCTGCTGTCCTCCAGCTCCAGTAGGTTCCTTTTTTCTAATCTCAACAAAAAGTGAGACCATTTTGAATAAACATAAAAAATAAAAAAATAAAAGAAGAAGAGAACCAAACCAACAGGATCCTCTTCGGATTCTTTTAGTGAGAATTCTGGAGATTCGTAAATCGTATCTATTCATCATACATTGTGGGGTCAGTTTTTGTCAAGTATTATTTATGTTTACTTTTAAATAAAAATATTTAAAATGATTTCTGACTGCACGATGTACAATGAAGGGACACGATTCATGGATCTTCAGGATCTTCACAAAGATGATCCGATGATGATTCGAACTCAGAACCAAGGACCAACAAAATCACGACCAAACTGATGGATCTCAAATTAGTTATTAATAAAAGGCTTTTAGTTAAAATTGTATTTAAAATTGTATTTAAAATTGACATAACGCCTTATTTTGCTTTTTGAAATTTAAAATTAATACACATGGTCATTGAGATTTTGCACCCTTGCTTGATTGGTGTGGCTCTGCATGTCCTTTTTTTTCTTTTTTCTTTATTTTTTATTATTAAATCTTGTCCAAAACGAAGTCATTTTGGACCTAAGAAGGTGAAAAACAGAAACAGGCGCCATAACCGTAGACCTGGCATACGTGTCGTGTTTCTCGTGTTGGTGTCATACCCAAAGCTTAATGGGTCGTGTCGTATAATACCCGTTAAAGTAAACGGGTAATATGACCTAACCCGAAATCAACCTGTTAATATTATCAGGTAATATGACCCGACCTGTTACCCGTTAAGAAAAATATATTTTAAATCAATAAAAATGAAAATGAAAAACATAATTTGACCCAAAAAAATGTAAAACATAATACTAAATTATTATATATATACTAAATTTCAGAGTTGACCCCTTCATGAAAGTTGTAAAACTTTTCATTACGAGTGATTACATTTTTCACACTTCTACAATAATTATTATTAATTTTATTAATTTTGCATTCAAATAAAAAACATTGTTCATGAGATTTGGAGGGTTTTAAAAATCTAAATGACTATGTTACTGTCATCTAAGCGTTGAGGATGCAATTATGAACGTTTATTATGCTTTCACATCTTTTAGACTTATACATTAATGATTATGAATTTTGTTTATTTTGACATTAATGATTATGAATTTTGTTTATTTTGAACTCTCTTAAAAATACTATTCATAAGAGTTTGTATGATTTTAAAAATTCAAACGATCATATACCTATCCTTAAAGCATAGAGGATGCGACTACGAGCGTTTACATATTTTTTTTCATATTTTTCGCACATGTAAATTAATTATTATAATTATTTTAGTGTGTTTGATATTTTTAAATTACTTGATATTTTTATTTTTAATGTGTTTTATGATTTTTAATCTCAATCTTTGCCTATAATATACTATAAAACTACATAAATAAATAAAATTTAAATTTTAAAATTTATATAGAATAATAATTAATAAACAATATATACATATACATATTCATTATATCTATTGTATTTTATAGTAAGTTTTTTTAGTAGTTTAAAAAATTAAAATTATCAAAATAACTTTTTTCTTATCGTGTCAAAATAGGTTACCCGCATGTCACTCTCGTGTAAACCTGTTAAGGACCTGTTATTAACAGGTTATTATCGTGTGGCTCGATTAGTTATTGTGTTGACCCGAAACTCGTTATTTTCGTGTCGTTTACGTGTCGTGTTAACGGGTTATGTAAGAAATTGCCAGGTCTACATAACCCTCCATGGCTCCACACCATCGTCAGCCACGAGGCGCACCACCAACCACTGTCAATTTCGAAGTAAATCCCTAATTTTTCAATTTTAAATTCTTAATTTATAACTTAATATTGTTGTTAATATATATGATTATTGATTAATTGAATTGTGGTTTAATTAGTTAGTCATAGTAGAGTACTCTAGGGTTAAGAGTCTAAAACCCTTTTCATTGCTCATTATACAATTACGTAATGAATCAATACCTAAACTCCTTAAGTCCTCTATCAAATATTATGGGTAATCCGACTTTGAATATACCACGTAGTTATCACTTGAATATTCCAGTTGGTCGAAATCCTACTTCGAATGCTTCGGGTAATTCACAACAAAGTGAGGTCACAACTAGATGAAATATTGGCTAATCTTCATGCAAACCCTAGACTTAGACCTCGAATTATTGATTTTAGCCTAATTATCGCAAAGCAATTCATAGTCACTATCTATAAAAGAATCCTTGTCATCCTAAAATCCATGAAATGCCAGAAGTTATGAGGAATGACAATCGATGTTTTATCACCCATTGATTTGATATTTTTGAGTGGTTGGAGTATAGTATAACAAAAAATGTTGCATTTTGCCTTATTGTTATCTTTTCAAATGTGATTTTGATAAAGCAGGAAATGTTGGAAATAATATCTTCACTAAGAAAGTGTTTACAATTTAGAGGAAAGGCCTCGAAATTATTTGAGACCATAAGGAAGGTGTTGGAAGTCTTCATAGTAAAGCTTCGCAACAAGCTAGCAATTTGATGACACAAGAGCAACACATTGAAATCTTTGTGATCAAGCAAACCAACGAAGCTCGCATTAATTATCATGGATTGAGTAGCGCACTTGATTGCACTTGATGGTTGTTGCAACAAGGTCTTCCTTTTCGTGGCCATGATGAATTACTGAAATCAAGTAATACAGGTAATTATGTGGAGCTTATGCAATTTTTTGCCGATCATGATGAGAAAGTTAGGAAGGTTGTGTTTAGGAATACTTCCAAAAATCTTAAGTATATCTCTTATGGTATTCAAAAAGATTTTGTCCATACTTGTGTCTTTGAAACTATTGATACAATCACTAAAGATATGGAAGGAGCATTTTTCTCTTTTGGTTGATGAGTCACGTGATGTTTTAATTAAAGAGTAAATGGCGGTGGTGTTACATTATGTCAACAAAATAGGGGAAGCAATTGAAAGTTTTGGGGTCTTCAACATGTCTCCTTTACAACCAATTGCAAAATTTGAAGAGGCCATTCAGAGATAGTTTGTTACAACAAATTTGAGTATGTCCAAGCCTAGCATAAAGCTATGGTAGAACTAGTAATTTGAGAGGTGAGCCAAATGATCTTAAAATTAAGAGTTTGAACAATTATCCTCGAGCATTTTATGTTCATTATTTTTCACACTAACTTTAACTAGCTCTTGTAATCGTAGCAAAGTAGGAAGAGGATGTTGCCACTTTCTTCATAACAGCTAGTAGTTTGGTTAATACTATTAGATCATCGTGTAAGTGTCATGATGCATTTCGAGAGAAAAAACAAAACAAATTTTGAAAGCTCTTGATATTGGTGTTCTTGAAACGATGAAAGGGTTAATCAGGTAGTAGTCTCATACGTCCTTGTAATACACGTTAGGACTCATAGTATAATATTATAATTAGTATTGTTGTTATGTTAAACCTGTGGTGGAGTTGCTTCAGTGTATTAAAGGGGATATATAGGAACTAAAATTTTTAGTATTGAATTTATGGTACTCGTATTATGGTACAAAAAATCTGAAAGTTTGTCAGCATTGAATTTAATCAGAGGAAATATATAGGAACTAAAAATTTTTAGTTTTTTTCTTTTTTCCTAGTGTACTTTGAGGAAACGACTTCACAGGGTTGCATCATGACAGTATGATGAGATACAATTACGGTGACATCTCCATTGTAGATAACTTTATGTCATACTTTAGACACTGAGAAGTTACAATTCAGCATTGCCGAACTCAGAATTGAAAGAGGCATACTCTGAAACAGATGTTTGCATTCTTTGTCAAAGTGGATGCAAGTTTCAGGTGCCCTAGGTACCCATATTCTTATTGAGCTAATGAAGGTCAATGATTTTGGTGAGAACCGCCATCATCAATGGC